TATATCAAAAGAAATAATAAACTAAATTACTCTAATTGGCGTTAAAATAAGTAACACCAAAAATCCGCAAAGAGTACGGTGAGCAAAACTGTAAATTCGAACTATAAAAAAAACTAGAAAATTACTATAACATTTAACAACTGCTTGTTAAAAAAATACACAAACTAAAATAATATACCTAACACCAGTGTGTTCAGCTCAGCAGCAACATAAATATCAATCAGCATAAAAAAATTCAATAATATCCTGAAAAATATACCCAAGAAAAAATAATCAAATTGCGCAAAAAAAAAAATCAAACTGTACTATCAATAATATTCGCAATACTTTTTCAAGTCAACACTGTGCCAAAATATATTAATAAAAGGTACCAAAATAAATATAATAACAACCAACTATTCCGTAATTTAAACCATACAATATAGAAAAAAAATTCAAAATAAATTTAATCGAGTTAGCTAATCAGAAAAAAAAATATCAGTTTAAATACTAACCACAAAAAAAATGACCGTTGGGCGCCAATTTGTCATACAAATTGCAAACCTAACTTCTTTCAAACCGTTGGGCGCCAATTTGTCATAAGAAAAAAAAATATAAAAAAAAATAAAAGAAAATAATAAGAATAGAATAGAAAGAGAAAGGTAACTTAAAATATTATATAAAATTATGTTTACTGATACAAAAAGAGCTATAAAAGGGGGTGTCAAAATATCTAAAACCTTTTTCTCTTATGACAACAGAAAAACTATAATTTATATTATAGCTGTGTTAAATTAAATAAAACTATGTTACGGTGAGATAAATTAAAAGATAAAGAAAAGAGACAGCAACAAACTAATAGTTATTATTTAATTATTTAACTCTTACTCCTCGAACAGGTCAATGCCCAAATAGGTAGCTTCTACGGAGAGTAGGGGGGGTTATAACTAAATGTGTCTAAATTAAATGTAAATAAGCGCCACCCACTTTCTGGACCCTAAGAGTAAAAGTGATGTTTCTGAAAGAAAGTGGGAAACAAAATACTAAATAAAACAATAAGAATCACTTAACTCATTTAATAAAGAAGGTTCAGCAGAAATCACGATAAAAAGGTAAAACTCTAAATATTGTATGTATGGCCTAAGACGAGAAAATCAGTTGTCAATATATCAAATTAAATTATAGAAATATACCAATATATCAGATAAAACTATTTAAATCTTATACTGAAATAAACTTAATAACTCAGTACATTTATACTAAGGCAAATAATGAAAAGTAATTAACTACAAAACAGTACAGCCTCAAAAAGTATCGGCAGTACACAAGTGGTAACTTGAACGATAGTGTCTAAACTTAAAACGGTTAAATCGATATCATAAATCGCAAATGGTTATACGCTATAAATTACTAAAACGGAAATACGTACTCGCGATACTTACTAGTAAGTTCACAGATCGAGCCGCAAGTAAAAAAGTCTAAAGAAGTTGAACTACAACTATCTTAAATACGCAAAAATAATTAAACTCAATAAACGATTAATAAGACTGTTCGGCGGAAATAACTCAAAACAGTAAAATGAAATGAAATGGGTACTTATCAGGACATTCCAGAATCTCGGTGGTCGGTGACTCAGATGGTTGCTTTATGACTGATTTTCAAAACGGCGGACGGTGAGCTGGCTTCAATACCCCATAGTGGTCGGTCTGGTCGGTCTCAGAAAGTCTTCTGGATCAAATGAGCTAGGTGATGAGGTGATGGTTAGCTCAGAACCACATGGTGAAGAAACTGGATACTGGCTGGCAAGAAAACGGCAGCATACCAAATAAAACGTAACCAAATGTTACAAAATGGTCAAAACCAAACTCCAAAATGAAAACAGAAATAAATAGGAATTAAATTAAATTAAATCCAACTAACGTAAATTAAATTAAATGGCCTGAAAAAGAAGTTCAAAATTACCTTCAAGAAAAACTACAGAATGGCGTAAAACATACCTGAGATGTCATGTGGCCATTCATCAACTCTTCTCTCAAATTCGTGCGGTTAAAATAATTAGAAAATCGGAAAACTCCACTTGAATAGTGCAAACGGCAAACTATTCACTAAATAATTATTTAACAGAACTTGCAAGAACTTATATCAGCACAAGGCTTGATCCAAAAGCGTGTCTGCACACAAAGACGGATCGTTCTAGAAGAAAGAATCATGGATGAACACCGGACAAAAGGGCAGTAAAAAAACACAGCAAATCAATGTTGCCAATAAACCAAATAACATACTCCCTAAGAGCAAAACATGAAATACGTAAAATATAAAAAAACAATAAATCGAAAGTATTGAAAGTAAACGGAAATCGAAGAATGAAATCGAAAGTACTACAGGAAAATAATATTACGCAACCAAAATACAATGTAAACAATCAAAAAGTCACCATCATATATAAATGTCATATATAACTGTCAATCAAACCCTATAATTCGGTAACTAATGCTAATATGCTCGATATTTACGTTGCCGGAGAATAAGAAATTACAAAATAACCTCAAATATTGTTCGGCTGTAAACACATCGCTGTCAAAACATTACTCAAGCTAATTTTAATAAAATTACGATTTTGCAAGCCTTTAAGAGACTAAATATCAGCCACACATCGTAAGTAATATATTTAAAAGTACCTATTAATAATTACTAAACGTTTTATTTACTTTTAGTTTATGATGTTCAACAATTGAATGTGCTACACTGATATCAACACTTGTTCGATTCAAAATAAAGTTAAATGCGTATTATAATCATGGGAGAAACTATAGAATTTTTATAATAATGATACATTCCAAGGAATTTGTGTAAAATATGATAATATAAACCAAATTTAACTTGTTGAAATAGAAGGCATCGTATTTAGCTTCGAAAAACTATAAAGCAGTACGAGACAGAGAAATTTACAGCGAAATTAGATCCTTTTTTATGTTGTTAAAAGAAAAAGTGTAAGGCAACAGTAATTAAACATATTTTAGCCTAGAAATTATATTATTTACCAATTTGTTTTTAGATTTTAAAGAAATGGCGAATATTCCAGGTTTGATAAAACAATAAACTAAATTCAAGAAATGTCTCTAAATTTACAATATTGAGCCCAAAATAAATAAAATTAGAAAAGAAATGTATGAGAATATAAATCCCGTAACAACGTTTATAAAGCAAACTACCCTTTATTTTGAACAAGGAATCACCCCCTAAAGTTTTTCGCATTTGTTTTGAAACAACCTGTGTATATATATATATATATATATATATATATATATATATATATATATATATATATATATATATATATATATATATATATATATATATATATATATATATATATATATATATATATATATATATATATATATATATATATATATTTTGTTTCTTTTGACCTGTATACTATATATTTTTTTGTTTTCACTCTTGGCTTTAGGTCGTTGGGGTTGCAAAGATGTTTCTAGATTTTGTTCATTATTTTTTTATTTTGTGACGACGTTTCGACAGTATATGTCTTTTTCAAGCCTCTTTAAGTACATAAAAAACAGTCAGTTAAAATCAATAAGATAAAATGTCAAACTAAAAGGTCTTACCTTGAACGTAGATTCTTACAGAGTTAAAATTTGTTAAACTGGACAACACAAAAAAGTTATTTTCTTTTAATGTATTTTTTGCTTTTTTTATTGCAGCATCTCTATATTCTGGGTCGGATAGACGAATTGATCTGTCCGCCAAGCCAATTATCACCGATCTTTTTGGTTAGCTGGAAGGTTAGATAAAAAATTGAGATATCTTCAGGACCAAGTTTTCTTTGTATACCATTCGGTTTTTATGGTTTGATTGGTATGATGTAAAGTAATATCTAAGAAGTTAATTTTTTTATCGTTCTCTATTTCTGACGTAAATTGAATATGTTTATTATAGGCATTAAATTTTTCTTCTATATACCTAATTTTTTCTTTTGGTATAGCTGTTAGACAGTCATCAACATACCGTTAAAAAGGGTATTTCAAAATCGATATCAGATAGAACTTTAATCTCCAAGTGTTCCATAACCATTTGCGCTGCAACACTAGAAATCGACGCCCCCATTGCACAACCCTCAATCTGCTTATAAATTTGGTCTTTATACATAAAGTAAGTTGAGTTAAGCGTAAGTTCAGTAGCTTCAATAAATTCGTTCATCGGGATATCAGTGTATTGCTTAATTTCGTCCCATTTTTCTTCGATTACCTTTGTTACTAATTTAATTGGGATACTGGTATATAGGGAAATTACATCTAAAGATACTTGTTACGGGCGAGAATTAAGGGGCTCAGTTCATTAGGGTGAGTTAATGTATCAGGACTGTGGGCACTCACCTTTATTCCCGTTCTGGACTCGGATGTTATTGGGAGCAGGATCATCCCAATTTATACCTAACTTCCACAAATCTTGTATAATCAGTTTTAGGTGAAGAGTGAGAGGAACTAACATGCCACAAGGATCGAATATGCTTGCGAGTTGTGAAAGAATATTGCGTTTGTTACAGATTTTGTTTGTCAAGGACAAGGCTGGTGAATCAAAGAAAAATTCATCTGTAGAGGGATTCCAGTTTAGTCCTAGAACTTTAGAGGAAGAAAGAGAATTTATATTTAAAGAGAGAGAAGAATCCATTTTGCATTCATTTGGAGATAACTGAGAAAGAAAATCTGAGCTATTCTAAGTCCATTTTCTAAGTTCAAAACCGCTGTGTTTGAGTATAAAAATGAGATCGCGTTGAATTTTTATAGCAAGAGAAAGAGAATCGCAACCAGATATAATATCATCGACATACGTCTCCATATCTAAAATCTTTGATGCTTCGGGATATTTTACTAAATTTTCTAAAGCAATTTGTTTTATAACTCGAATGGCTAAAAATGGGCTACAGCTTAAACCAAAAGTAACACGAGTAAGTTTGTATTCTTGAATGGGCTCATTAGGGTAAAATCGCCATAAAAATTTTAGGTATTAAGTATGATTTTCATTAACAAGAATTTGACTAAACATTTGTTAATATCGCTAGCAAATACAATCAAATGAGATCTAAATCGAAGTAAAATAGATAAAATATCTGACTGTAATTTTGGCCCAGTTAAGAGAGTGTCATTCAAAGATTTATTTGTGTAATCTCGAGCGGAAGCATCAAAGACAACTCTAAGTTTGGTCGTGAGACTATCTGGTCGGATTACGCAATGATGAGGCAGATAATAAGAATGAGCGTTGGGAGAAGGATTTTGCACGGCAATCATATATTGAGAATCTAAATATTCACGCATGTAATTAGAATATTGAGAATACAATTGGGGGTTTCGAAGCAATCGTTTTTCGAGCGAGAAAAATCTACGAAGGGCGACATCTCTAGAACCTTCAAAGATCGGTTCCAAAGTTTTAAATGGTAAAGATACTTTATAACGTCCAGAAAGAGTGCGTGAAAATGTTTTACAAAAGTGTTCTTCGGCAAGCTTTTCATCTGAAGAAAGCGTCGAGGATTGTGGAACGTCCTCTAACTCCCAGAATCTTTGAAGTGATTGATCCAAGGAAGCATAAGAGGTAAGAAAGTATGAGTTTACAGAGAGCGAAACACTAGATGTTTTAACTCTTCCTGTAATTATCCATCCAAATATAGTTTCTAAAGCGACGGGTTGATCTGGATCTGAGAGGAGTTTGTTTCCTGTTATCAAGAAACCATAAATATCTGCACCCAAATGTATATCTACGGGTTTAGAGAGGTGAAAGTTGGGATCAGCTAAGGGCAATTGAGAAAACTATGAGAACTGTTCAACGGGAAGAGAATTAATCGGTAAATTATCACTAATTTCATTTAATATGATAAACTCCAAGGAGTAGACCGGTTCAGACTTTCCAACAGGTATAATGTTGCATCTAACACCGTGAGAACCTTTAGAAATACTTTTCCCCATGCCACACAACTGGACGGGAAAGAAAAATTTAGATAAACCTAATTTATTAAAACAAGATTTTGAAATAAAGTGACTTTCACTTCCACTGTCAATTACAGCGCGTATTACATGAAAATTACCCCACGCATCTTGAACATTGATTAATGCTGTAGAAAGAAGAGCTTTATTCTTATGTTAGATACTTCACTTTAGATGAGAGTCTAACATGACGCCTAAGTACTTTATTTTAGACTTGGATTTTATTGAGATAGTAGTAGTTGCGTTTATTTGAATGAAGATTTCATTATACTCTGGAAGGGAGTCGCGGTAACACCCATAGGGCATGAAATATGTTTTCTCAAAGTTAACGGCAAGGATATGGTTACTGTACCATTGAAAAAATTTTTGAAGATCAATTTCGACAATTCTTTTAAGTGTTTTTCAACTTTTTCCTCTGTAGATTATTGCGGAATCATCAGCAAAACATACTAGTTCCCCAGAAGAGTTGATGTTGAACACATTATTTATATAAAGTATAAACAATATCGGACCCAAAACGGTCCCCTGTGGAAACCCGTATTCAACCTCAGTCTCTGCACTTGTAGTTTCACCAATTTTTACGCTTTGGGTGCGGTCACATAAATAACTTTTAAACACTTTGAGAGCTGTGCCTCGTATACCAGAATTCTCAAGGATTTCTATTAATTTTCCATGATCCACCGTGTCGAATGCCTTGACCAAATCGACAAAAACGGACAATACTTTTTCTCCACTATCTAATGAATCATTAATAGTTCTTGTGAGTTTGACCAAGGCATCTTCAGCCGAATGATTATCTTGAAACCCAAATTGATTTTTATATAAAACATTATGTTTTTTTAAAAAATTCAAAAGCCTTTTTTTATTATTTTTTCTACAATTTTGCTGGTACTGTTAAGTAATGAAATTGGCCTATAGTTTGAAGGTAAAGTCTTATTTCCAGCTTTGTATCGGAAAGTAAAGTTTAATAATTGCTTTTTTTGAGTTTTGGAAAAGTTCCGGTTTCAAAACATGTGTTAATTATGTGGGCAAGTGGTGCTGATATAAAATCTTTTAGTTCTTTGAATGTTTTGCTTTTGATTCCATCAATTCCAGGGGTTTTGCCATTTTTTAAAGATATTATTGTTTGTATTACTTCATTAGTATTTGTTGGCGTTAAAAATAGGCTGTGCACATTTATAGGTGTGGGGTATATTAGGTTATTGTTTGAAGTTATATTTTCTGCCATAGTTTTTCCGACGCTACTAAAATACTTATTAAAGCATTCTGCTATGTCGGATTCTTTTAATATAATTTGATCTTCTTTTCTAATTTCGCAAAATGTATCTTTTTTTGTTTGGTCTTTATTAAGAATATTATTTTACATTTTTCCATAATTTGTCGGGTTTTTCAAGATTTTTGTCCATTTTGAATTTGTAGTACCTAATGTAAGCTTCATCAAGAATTTTATTTAGATTATTTCTATATTCTTTATATTGGCGCGCAAAATGTGGATTATTAGGATGTTTTTTGATTTATTTAGTAGTTCATATTTGTTGTTTATTGATTTAAGCAAGGCGGGCGTAATCCAAGGGTTTTTATTGACATTTTTGCTGTTAAATTTTTTTATTGTTGTTGCAGATTTTATATGATATTGTAATGTTTTTATGAATTTTTCTGTAGCTGTATTTACGTCTATTTCTTTGTGTAAACCTTCCCATGTTTCATGTGTTACATAACCCTTTCCCATGAAGATCATATGAAAAAGACTTTAATTCTGTTTTCGCTGAGACAAGCATTATTGTTAACTTCGTTAATTCTCATTGTATTTGTATTCAGTTAGAGCTTTGTTGTCGAGCTGTAAACACGTATTTCTCCACTTGTTAAATTAAATTTATAAATAAATCTTTTTTTAAAAACGGGTTGTTTGAATCCAATAAGTTAAGTGGCGCAGTCGGTAGGATTGTCGAAAACGTTTTGCATCGAGCATCGTTGTTCAATTTCAATTGATTAATCGGCAATCGAACAAGTGATCGATAACTTTATTGTACGTACAGACATTTTACTATCCATCGAGGAAGTGTACAAGACCAGTGAGGGGATCAATCACGGGAATAGGAACCAAAATTGTCCTATTTCACAGAGATCGATAGGTTTTGAGAAGGACCCACATCGCCTGATCATCCATTGTTCTCTATAGACGGAATGAAGAACAACTTGGCATTTCTTATGTAAGTAGTGCAATTCTTAAGCTATATATGTCAGTGGAAGATATTTTAAATTCTTTAGAAAGATTAAATTTAACGCCTTCGGCAAACTCTAACTCAGATTTAAATATAAGTAATCAAACTAATACACCTAATATTAATTTAGAAAAAATCAATCACATTAAAAGAATGTCTCAATTCAAACCAGAATACCTTAATTTTGTACCTGTTTTCAACGGTAATCCAAGTGAATTGAATAGGTTTTTAGCTATATGCAAGTCATTGATTGATACTTTCTATGATATTGCTAATCCTCAATGTTTTCAAAATATTTATTTGCTAAATAGTTTGATAGGTAAACTTAGTGGTAATGCTAAATTGATTGTCAATGTGCAGAATGTCACAAATTGGGATCAATTAAAAGATGTTTTGTATCGAAACTTCGCCGACAGACGCGACGAAGCTTGCTTAAATCGGGATTTAGTAATGTTGAGACAGAATCCGAACGAATCTGCTCAAGATTTCTATGATAGATGTTTAGAAATATTAAATTTATTATGTAGTTACGTAGACGCACACGAAACTACATTAGCCGCTTCTACTAAGCGCGATTTATATAAAAAATTAGCTCTTAAGACTTTCTTATCGGGACTTAGGGAACCCTTACTGACTTAAGATCTTACTGAGGCAATTCAATTAGTTCTTGAAGAAAATAATATTAAATATCTTCAGGGAAATAGTTTCTCACAAAATAAACCTCAAAATTTTAAACAAAGTCAGCAAAACTCTAAACCACAACAACATTTTAATAATTTTGGACCTAATTTTAATATTCAGCCTAGACATAATTTTGATAATTTTAATCAACAACCACATAATTTTAATCCTAAACCATTCCCGTCACAGCCAATTAATATCAGACCCAATCCTAATTATGTACCTCCTAGACAGTTCACAAACGCAGAAGTTTTTGGCCAGCAAAATAGAAATGTATTTAAACCCGATCCATCGAAACCTCTACCAAAACCGACACCGATGAGTATCTCTACTCATCAAACGTATAAACCAAATTTTGGGCCAACTAAATCTAATTTCTTTAAATCATCAGGACCACGTAATTTTATATCAGAAGAACTTTTTAATACACAGTGTTCATCAGTAAATAATTCGAGTGAGTTAACTGATCAAAGTAATTATGAATATTCTGATCAATATGATTACCAAAACTTCGATCAACCAGAGTATGATTACGAGGGACATTAAGAAACTACCGAATCGAATGACGAAAATTTTACGGAAGCTCCTCCTACAACAGAACCAGAATAGAACCAGAAATTATTTCTTTAAATGCATCTAGTTCTAGTGAACTATCTTATATTATTTTTCCCGAATTTGACATTAAAATTTTAATCGATAGTGGCTCTACAAAATCATTTATAGATCCTGACATTGCAGAAAAGTATTTTCCAAATTTAATTAAAAACGATCCATTTATTGTTTCTACAGTTTTCCAAAAATCAGCACACAAGTACAGTGCAACAATACCACCTTCTAAAATTTTTAATATGCCTAACCAGATTCCTTTAAAATTTTTTCTTTTTAAATTTCACAATACATTTCACGGACTTTTAGGTTTAGATAACTTAAAACTATTACAAGCACAATTAGATTTTTCAAACGGATTTTTAATAACACCCTATACCAAAATTAAATTAAAATATTATAACACAAATAATAATTTAAATTTAATAACAATTTTCCCACGTTCTGAACAGGTTATAAAAGTAAAAACTTCGATTAGAAATGGAGAAATTATACTCCCACATCAGAAAATACATAACTGTGAAATTCCAGAATGCCTAACTTTAGCAAAAAATGGTGAAGCTATAACGACAATTTTAAATAATACTACACAAAAATTAACATTAGATTTTTCGAAACCTATTAACGTAGAAAAATTTAATCATAAAGATAGACAACAAATTATGTTAAACAATTTTGATGATTCTGAAAAACAAAATCTCGATCTTTCTAAATTACGAGTTAACCATTTAAACAGCGAAGAAAGGCATAGTATTTTAAAAATTTGTAAGGAATTTTCTGATCTTTTCTATAATGAACACCAACCTTTGACCTTTTCAAGTAAGATTAAACATAGGATAAAAACATCTGATGAAGTTCCCGTCTACACTAAATCGTACAGATATCCTTTTATACACCGAAAAGAGGTAACTGAACAGATGAAGAAGATGTTGGAACAAAATATAATAAGACCAAGCAATTCTCCCTGGTCTTCACCAATTTGGGTAGTCCCAAAAAAGCTTGATGCTTCTGGGAAGCAAAAATGACGAGTGGTGGTGGACTATAGGAAGCTTAATGAAAAAACCATCAACGACAAATACCCTTTGCCAAACATAACGGATTTACTGGACAAGTTAGGAAGGTGCCAGTACTTTACAACGTTCGACTTGGCGAGTGGTTTTCATCAAATTGAGATGGAAGTTGAGGACATTCAGAAAACCGCCTTCAACACCGAACATGGTCATTACGAATACCCTTTGAATGCCCTTTGGACTTAAGGACGCGCCAGCGACATTCAAACGTGTAATGGACAACATTTTACGGGGCATACAAAACGAGAAATGTTTAACTTATCTAGATGATATAATTGTATTTTCAACATCTTTACAGGAACATTTAGATAGCTTAAAGTGTGTATTTAAAAGACTAAGAGAGTCCAACTTTAAGATTCAATTGGACAAGTCGGAATTTCTCAAAAAGGAAGTAGCGTATTTGGGTCACATCGTGACACCCGATGGTGTTAAGCCCAACCCCGATAAAATCAAAGCCCTAAAGAAATTTCCAATTCCAAGAACAACAAAAGAGCTGAAGGTTCGTAAAGGACTTCGCTAAACTTTCTAAGCCGCTAACGAAGTGTTTAAAGAAAGGTGCAAAAATTGTACATAACGAAGAATTTCTATCATGCTTCGAAGCCTGTAAGAATGTACTTATTAATGAACCAATACTCCAGTATCCAGATTTTTCAAGACCTTTTAACCTGACAACGGACGCTAGTAACGTAGCAATTGGAGCAGTACTTTCCCAAGGTACAATTGGTCAAGATCTACCAGTGGCGTACGCATCAAGAACGCTTAATGAGTCCGAACAGAATTATTCTGTTATCGAAAAGGAGTTGTTAGCAATTGTGTGGGCGACTAAATATTTTAGGCCTTACCTTTATGGACGACAATTTAACATCATTACGGACCACAAACCACTACAGTGGCTATTTTCGTTAAAAGATCCAAATTCAAAATTATTGCGTTGGAGGATAGAGTTGGAAGAATACGACTATAAAATATTTTACAAGAAGGGAAAACTTAACACAAATGCAGATGCACTTTCCCGTGTAGAAATTCATACAAAAGAAACCGAATTTTGGGAACAATTAGACGATATTATTAGTGAATATGACCAAACGAAAAGAGGCTTATTTGACAAACCAACGACGTCCCAACAGATAGAACCACCAATAGACTTGTATACCGATACTCTGCAAGATGTACCAGTACACGAAGATATTGTAGACAATACCGATAACGCATCTATGTAAGTACAACCAGATATCGAGAACGAACTAGCAAACAATCAAGAAGAGAACGATGACGTCAACACAATCCATTCAAACGACGAACAAGATCCTATTGTAGGAATTCCAATTTGTGAATCACCTGTAAATTTTGGCGCAAATCAAATAATTATTAGTGAAGTGTTACACTCTCGTACAAAACCTAAAATTAATTTTTTTTTCGAGAAAAAACGTATATTTCTTGTTCAGCTCTCAAAAGATAATTTTGAAAACGATATACTAAAATTTGTTAAAGAATTTGTCTTACCCGAAAAAATGTATTATTTGTATTTCGAAAATCCAAATAATTGAATTTGAACCCTTTTGTAAAGTAATAAAGTAAGTAATAAATTAAAAAGTAAAGAAAAAAGTTATTAAAGTAAGTTATTAAATTATAAGTAAGTAAAAAATTTTAAATGGCCTTCTATACAATTTAAACGATGTACGATTAAGCTTATTGATGTTGTAACTAAAAATGATATACAGGATGTCATAAAAAATTATCACGAAGGAAAAAGTAATCACAGAGGCATAGACGAGACAGAACAAAAAATTAAATCAAAATACTATTGGCCGAATTTAAAAAGCTCTATACAAAGTTACATTAATGATTGTGAAATATGTCAACTTAGTAAATATGAGAGAAACCCTGTAAAAATCCCTATAAACATAACCCCAACACCAACCAAACCTTTCCAAATTGTACACCTAGATACCTATACTTATGAGAAAACCAAATTTTTAACTATAATAGACAGTTTTTCGAAATATGCGCAAGCGTATTATCTAAACTCTTTGACAGCTAGTGATATTGTTAATAATCTATTAATATATTTTTCACATCATGGGATTCCATCGCAAATTATATTAGATAACGGTACAGAGT